AACAGAACAAAGGGATACTTATTCAAACTGTATACTGAGCAAATAATCCCAGAAGTTGGACTATATGAAGACCATGGCATCAAAATTGGAGGAAGACTCACTAACAGCCTGTGATATACAGGTAACACAACCTTGATCGCTGAATGTGAAGGTGACCTCACTTCTTCCCAATCTGTGTTCATCTGGAGGTTCTGCTGATGCCTGTCCACCATGGGTTACTCTGTTGGTATTTGAAATACCAGTAACATAGCCTCTCACCTCACAGCAACACGCAAGCCACCACAGTACAACAAACTGGCAGATGAGTGATGGCAATGGAATACTACTCAGTTATAAAGAGAAATGGAGTCCTGATGCATGCCATAACATGGATGATCCTTGAAAATACCATGCTGACCCATGCCTCACGCCATACACCAAAACAAATTCAAAATGGATTAAGGACCTAAATGTACAGACGTTTTAGAATTAAAACGTTTAAAATTCCTAGAAGAAAATGCAGGGGCAAAGCTGTCAAACCTAGCTTTTATCAATGAATTATCTAATACAATAGCAAAAGCACAGACAACAAAAGACAAAAGAAATAAATAGGAGCTCAGAAATTTAAAGCTTTTGCTCACCAAAAGATTTTACCAAAACTCTGAAAATACAGGCTACCAACTAAGAGAATATCTTTTGAAACCATATTTTTGATAAGAATCTAATTATGCATATATTATATATGTATAATTAGATACAACATGCATACATACATATATATTATATATGTAATATATAATGTAATTAGATATTATATTACATATATATATGTACATATATGCATGTATGTATGTTATTGTTGTTGTTGTTGTTATGTGCCGTTAAGTTGGCCCCAACTCATAGTGGCCCCTCCTTGGGTTTCTGAGGCAATATCACTATGGAAGTAGATTACCCAGCCTTCCTTCCGAGGAGTGGCTGGTGGGTTTGAACTGCCAGCATTCTGGTTAGCAGCCAAGTGCCTTAGGCACTACACTACCATATATGTATATATACATATGTGTGTGTGTATATATATGTGTGTGTGTGTGTGTGTGTGTGTAACTTTGACAGTTTAACAACAAAAGGACAAAATAACCCAATCATAAAATGGGTAAAGGACTTGAACAAACATTTCACCAAAGAGGACATTGAGATGGCTACCAAACACATGAGAAGATGCTCATCATCATTAGCTGTCAGAGAGATGCAAATCAAAACCACAGTAAGATACCATTTCACTCCCAGTAGGATGGCTAAGATTTTTAAAAAAATAAATAAAACCCAGAAAATAACAAATGTTGACAAGGATGTGGAAAATTGGAACGCTTATCCATTGCTGGTGGGAATGCAAAATGTTGTGGAAAATAGTGTGGTAGTTCCTCAAAAAGCTAAAAATAGAACTACCGTATGACCAAGCAATTCCCAGAGGCTTGAAAGCAGAGACACTAAAAGAGACTTATACATCAGTGTTCATTGCAGCATTATTCACAATAGCCAAAAGGTAGAAACAACTGAAAAGCCCATCCACAGGTGAATAGATGAACTAATGTGGTACACACATACAATGGAATCCTATTCAGCCATTAGAAATGAAATCTTGATACATGCTACAGTATAAACAGAGCTTGAAGATACCATGCTGAGTGAAATAAGCCAATCATACCTCTTCCCTGTGTCCATCACTTACTTAAAAAGAACAAGAAAAGGCAAACTCACAGGGACCAAAGTTTTTTAGTGGTTACCAGGGGCAGGAGGGAGGGGGAAAAGGGAGGTTAGCAGTAATGGGAAAATTGCATTTGTAAGGAAGGGTAGGGTTGCACAGCTGATTATTGTAATTTCTATCACTAAGTTGTACACCTGTAAAAAGTTAAATTAGCAAAAGTCATATGATAGATATATTTACAGCAAAGACAAAAAAAAAAGAGAGAGAGAATAGCTTCTGAGGGCTGCTTATGTACAACTAAACACTTGATGGAATTTGATTCCTTGGTTTGGAAGTTTAGGGACATAGTTTCATGGGACATCCCAATTAATTGGCCTAATAATGTGTGTAGTACTCCTGTTCTGTCACCTAGCTCATTGCATAGTAACTAGGCTCTTAAAAGCTTGCAGGCAGCCCCTGAAGGCACAATTGGTCTCTGTTCACCTGGAGTAACAGAGGAAGAGGGAGAGTCAATAAATAGCAGGAGGATATGGAATGTGTGGCTTATTGCCTCCATGAACAATTGCCTCCTTTGCAATGGGACCAAGAGAACTAGATGGTACCCAGCTACCATTACTGAACATATTGACCAAAGATTCCATCAAAGAATCCTGATAAAAAGGGGGGAAATGCAGAACAGAATTTCAAATTCTTGTGAAGTTCCTGGAGCCATGGAGGTTGGATGGACCCCTATTGCCTTGAGATAATCTTTAAGCCTTAAATAAAAAATATCCACTAACATCTTAAAACCACATAATAGTTTAGCTAACCTAGGAAAAAATGTCTGCCTTTGAGCATTATGATCTTTTAAGCACTATCTGTGTGCAGTCACATTGATAATAGCAACTCAGAAGATTTGTTGTTGTTATGTGCCGTTGAGCCAGCCCTGACTTATAGCGACCCCTCCTTGGGTTTCCGAGGCAGTATCACTACAGAAGTAGGATTGCCCAACCTTCCTTCTGAGAAGTGGCTGGTGGGTTTGAACCGCCAGCCTTCCGGTTAGCAGTCAAGTGCCTCAGAAGATTAGGGAGCAGTAAGTTGATGTTAATGACCAAAACTAACTCACTGCTGTTGAGTCGATCCTGACTTGTAGCAACCCTTCCTTGGGTTTCTGAGGTGGTATCTCTACAGAAGTAGATTGCCCAATCTTCCTTCCGAGGAGTGGCTGGTGGGTGTTAGTAAGGGAGGAACAACTCAGAAAAGGAGGGTGAGAATGGTTGCGCAACTCAAAGAATGTAATCAGTGTCACTAAATTGTGCATATAAAAACTGTTGAATTAGTGTATTTTTTTGCTACTGTATATTTTTGACAATGACACAAAATAAATAAAATTTAAAAGAAAATGCCATGCTGAGTGACGTAAGTCAGTTGAAAAAGGACCAATACTGTATGATCTCACTTATATAAATAAGCAAATGTAAAGAAACCAAAGATTAGTGGCTACTAGAGTAGGAGAGAGGGAGAAAGAGGTAGTTTTTGTTTAGAGGAAATGGAGTTTACCTTAATGATGGTAGAGTGGTTTGGAAAAGGATAGCAAGAGTGTTTGCAGAAGACAGTGGTCCTATAACTTTATGTGTATGATCTGAATTCCCAGGTGTATAGTGGAGCTGACAAGGGGCAAGGTTGTAGTCACTGCTTGATCAGAGCCAGCTACCCAGAGGGACTGAGTAGTTGAACCGGTGGGCTCGGGACCATAGTCACAGAGGACATCAAGCTCAATTGGTGTACATACTATACAAAACATTGTTCCACCTTGTACTTTGGCGAGTAGCAACTGAGATCTTAAAAGCTTGCAAGCTGCCATCTAGATGCAACAATGGGTCTCTCCTCTTCCAGAGCAAAGAAGAATGAAGAAAATCAAAAACAAAAGGAAACAATTAGTCCTAGCGACTGGTACCCCATCCAATCTGCAGCCTATATGACTATGAGACCAGAAGAACTAGATGGTGCCCGGCTACTACTGTCAACCACTTGGAAGAGGATCTATGTAGGAGATCCTGGATAGAGAGGGAGAACAATGTGGAACAAAACTCAAAATCATTGAAAAAAAAAAAAAAGGAACCAGGTTTGCTGGTCTGACAGAGCCTGGTGGAACCCCTGAGACTATGGCCCCTAGCTGCCCTTCAGGTCTGGAACTGAACCCACATCTGTGGCTTCCAGCCAAACAATAGACAGGCATATGAGTTGAACATTTATCCAAGGTAGATACACTCCTTGGAAAGAACAATCATGGGAGAAAGAAGGGCTGCTTATGCACAGGGAGACAGTTCAGGGGGCAGGAGTGCATGGAAGGATGGACACAGGGAAGAGGTAACTATCTTGAGGAGATAGGAAGGGAGATGTTGCATTGTGGTCAATGTCATGAGACAAAGTGTATGCGAACTGCTGTATGGAAAGTCTATTTGCTCTGTAAATTTTCACCCAAATCACAATTAAAAAAAAAGAGTGTTTGCAGAATTTGAAGATATAACCAATGTCACTGAATTGTACATGTGGAAACTGTTGATATTGTGTTTGTTTTCTTATGCATATTCTCATCACAATAAACTTTAAAAAAGGAACCCCTGATGCATGGAAGTAAGATGTTCTTTCTGTGAGCAAGCAGGTGGCACAACTCCAGGATGGTGAGACACATTATGAAGTCAGTTGATACTATGGTTTAGTGACCTAAAGGGATGAGGCCTATCTCAGGTTACCCAGGAGCAGTAAGTGTGTTGATGTGAAAAGAGCCATCATCTGCCCTTGGCTTGTTTTTAGATGTTTTAGAGTGTGTGATCCAGTATTGGAATGTGTTTTTGTCTTGCAGACACCAGTAACCTAAAGACTGAACAAAATGATTCCTGGACCTCTGAGAACTTCTGGCTTGACCCTTCTGTGAAAAGCCAACCAGAAACACAGGAGGAAGAGGATGGACTTCGGAAATCCCTGGATAGATTCTATGAAATGTTTGGCCATTCACAGCTAGCCTCTCGAAACCCACTGTCTGAGTCTGTCTTCCAGTGCCTGTCTCAGAAAATTGCAGAACTGAAGGGCCAGGAGAGCCAAAAGTATGTCCTCCGCAGTTTTCAAATGGCCCAGGTCATCTTCAACCGGGATGGGTGCTCCATCTTACAGAGACATTCCAGGGACACCTCCTTCTACCCATTAGGGGAAGGAAGTATGTCTCTGGATGATGAAAAGCCAACTCCAGGACTTTCCAAAGATATTATTCATTTCCTCTTACAGCATAATGTGATGAAAGACTCCTAGCTGGAGGAGCTCTGGGTGCCCCATGGACAGAGCAGGCCATGACAGAGAAGTAGCTGTTGGTGCACTACCATATCCCCTAGGGTCTCTTTTCCCAGCTCCATGTGCCTAGCCTACAGCTTCTGAGTGACTTGCAGTTAAAGGTGCAGTTAAAGGCACCTGTGACCTGGCCCTGGAGACAATGTAGTCCATATGCAGAGCCAATGGAGTCTGGAAACTTTGTATCCTCATGGCTACCCTATCTCCCACCCAACCCTACCACTCCCCTTGGCCTGAGCCCAGTGACTAACAGATTTGGGAGTATAAAAGCCCCAGCTCCTTGCCTCAAGACAGGACACTGTCTGAAGAATAACTTATGCTCCAGAGTTCCCCTCAGGATCAGGCCAAAACTGGGACTTCAGCAGCAATCGTGCCCTTGCTCAACTTCTTCCATTCCCCATCCTTCTTTTCCCATTCACTTACTGGTGTCTCCTGGGAGCTCTTCTTTCGTAAATCTCATGTACCTCAATCCTTGACTCAGGGTCTACTTCTGATCTAAGAGAACAGGCTTCCATTGCATGAGTTTTTAAAAGCATGTAAAGCTCTATGCTGAATCTAGTATGAAAGATTATACCGTGTAAAACTGAGGCCATGTGACCGAGAACGTATGTCCCAAAATAATATAAAGATCTAAATACAGTTCCCAAAAGCACATCACATCTGAATCATACCCTTGCCTCCTCTCAAAGCTAGAATTCTCTGTTTTATAATACAAACAAGGTGTAGAAGGAACATTTGGACATCTAAAATAACAGCTAAAATTCACAATTTTTTTTAAAGTCTCTTTTTGTTTCCATCAGACTGCAAATGTGAAAGGTGAGAAGAAAACAAATGTGTGCCACCCCCCTCCCCAATTTTGCGAGGCCAATGTGATACAGCCTTCTTGACTTGGGGTTGAAAGGAAAAAGTCATTTGTTCAAATGTTGTTCTCTTTCCTCTCATTATGTTTGCCTCTGCCTGCCTGCTGCCAGTGCCCTCTGTCACACTGTAAAGGTTGTCCCCTCACGCTGTCCCATCCTTGCTTCTCACACCCTGAGCTCCATCTGCAAGCATTGCCCAGGGCAGGTGCTCACTGCCACCCTGGCTCTGCCTCCAGGCCTCGGCTCTGCATCATCACAGAGCTGCTTGAAATAGCCAGTTTAGGTTTGTGCTGACAGATGCTCTGCTCTGCAGGTCATGTCCTGAACCCGTTTAAGCCTCAGTTGGTAGAATTACGTCACCTGGCACAAAGCTCTCTGAAACTATAATTGGAAGCTTCACACTAATCCCTACCTTGACACTTCTTCTGAAAGGATTATGTCACTTGTTTGAAAGAACAGCAAAAAAGAAGCTGGCAATACTATGCAATTATATTTTGAGAAACTTTAGGTGGAATTTAATTGGCATAAAACCCCAAGAGCTTTCTAGAAAGCTGATTATGCAAAATGGGTCAACCTAAAAGTATACATTGAAATCGAGTGCACCCTCTCAGGCAGGTCTCTTGAGGTCTCTTGGATAGAGAGAGAAGCCTTTTAAAGGTCAAGAATTACATAGGTAAGGCTTCCAGTTCTGGAAAGATTAGGGGTAAGAAACAGTGTTCCAAACTGAAGTGCAGGGACACCACTGGGAGAGATTTTATTAAAGAGTAGGAAATAGGCTATGAATGTCTTTGAGAGATACTTGAGAAAATAAGACTCCATATTTTCCTCCTGACAGACAACCATCTACCTCTTTCTCCATGGGTGTCTCCTGTTCAGCTGACCTCCATATCACTGTTAAACCAGTGGGACTTACATTGAAAATGTACAGGTTAAATTTTAAGCTTGCCAGTTTTGTTCTTTTTAAATGTAAAGCAAATTAATAGATGCCCTTGCAGAATGCTGTCATTTTTAGTATTACTCAGTCACTGAAATATTTGAGATTAGTTTCCATGACTACCAACAGAAAGAAACTGGATTATTTTATGCTGCTTTTAAAGGACAAATGACACAAGCTATTTGAACCTTCATATTGGGAAGTAGTAGGGTCTGTTTGTTTCCCAGTGAGATTTACAGAAGCAGATTGCCAGGCCTTCTTTCTACCACAGTGCTGTTGGGTGGGTTCGAACCACCAACCTTTTGGGCAGCAGCCGAGTGGAAACCTTTTGCACCACCCAGGGACCCATGATGGATTGTTGTTGTTGTTGTTATGTGCTGTCAAGTCAAACCCGACTCATAGCGACCCCTCCTTGGGTTTCCGAGGCAGTATCACTACGGAAGTAGGATTGCCCAACCTTCCTTCCGAGAAGTGGCTGGTGGGTTTGAACCGCCAGCCGTCTGGTTAGCAGGCAAGTGTCTTAGCCACTAGCTCCCCATGATGGATTAGAGACATCAAATGAGAATCCTAGCCTATTAGAGACTTTTTAAAACATTTTGTAACCTTCTTTACTATTAGTGCTGAGGATGCTCAGCAAGAGGTAGACTCTGAAAACAGAGAATTTAGAAGTCTAAAAGCCAGAATCAATTAGAGTCAAAAAAGTGTGGTGTGTGTTTACTTGTATCTGAGTAAGTGTATGTGACAGGTCGGTACAACATATTTGATTCCCTGTAATCTTGCTGCTTAATTTGATTTTCATGAGGTTAGGATGGCATTTTCCATTTATCTCTGTGAACCTTTAATAAAGACTAAAAGATAAGAACATTGAGGCTCTGGCCAGTGGCTTTATTGTCTAATTCTACCCTACAGATACATTCACAACATCTTATCATCCTAATGAACGTTGTGACTGGCCTCTTATATTATCTTTGGCCCTTTCCAGATTTCCAGGGTGTTTGTGAGGATGGATTGATACAGGAACATCAGAACTCTAGAGAACTGCTACCAGTATTTATGGTATATAGCTATTATTCATTTCATTACTCAATTTCTTTACCTGGCTTATGTAAGGACACATGTAATTGATCTCATTGCCTGTCATTAGCATAAAACAGTACTGTGATACTTGTTAAAGTTTTTATTGAAATATAATCATCACTCAGAAAAGTACACGTTAGTATAAGTGGACATCTTGATGGTCTTTACAAGCTGGACCAACCTTTGCAAATAGCACCAAGATCAAGAAACAGACATTGCTTGTCCAGCTAGGCACCCTCTCTTGTTTGACCTCAGTCTCCCAAGCAGTTCCTTTCCTTCTTGACATCAATCCCTGGTCTTTCCCTGAGGCAAAGTCTTGAGCCCTGGTTAATCCAAATGAAACCACCATTTTTATTGGTCAAAATAGCCAAGCATCAGAGTTTAATTGGATTCAACTTCATATGTGCTGTTCTTTTGAAGTGATCCTCTCTTGGAACTTCAATGATTACCAATATGCCAATTTTCAGTTCTTTACTAAGCTCATGTCCTGTAACTCTAATTTCCCATGGGACATTTTGCTTGGATATTTTCTTGTCACCTTAAACAAAATGTTTTAAAAAGTCTCTTTCTAACAGGCTAGGATTCTCATTTGATGTCTCTAATCCATCATGAGGTCCCTGGGTGGTGCAAAAGGTACCCACTCAGCTGCTGCCCAAAAGGTTGGTGGTTAGAACCCACCCATTAGCACTGTGGTAGAAAGGCCTGGCAATCTGCTTCTGTAAAGATTTCTTCCATAAAGAAAATTCTGTGCCTGGAACCCTTCAGAGGAAAAGATTAAAAAAAAAAAAAAAAAAGTGGATTAAATACTGACTAGTAGAAGAAACTGAATGAAAACAACAAATAAGGAGTCAAACGGAGTTGTAGCCTATCAACTGACCTGATGGCATGGCCATTTTGAATATTTGCAAATCACATTCCAATCAGAGCAGCAACCTGATAATTGCTTCCACTTGCCGAGGGCTGCACAGGCACCCACACTGGTGTTTGGTGACCAGAAAGCAACTATGCCCACACAACCCAACCACTTCTGTACCTCCTGCAGCCCTACGCACTGGGCAATGGCCACCACCTGCTTCTGCACGAACTGATTAGTGACAGTGACCAATATCAGCCCAACCTGCCCTCACTTGCTCTCCACAAACGGCAAACAGAGAACTATGCACATATTCTCATCCTCTGTCACACCCACCAGGAGACAGATGGCGAGTGCCTAAGTGCTGCCAAACTAACAGAGTAGCACACCAGCCACACATGCTCAGATACAGCAAAACAAAATAAAGCAAAAAAATAAAAACCCTGGGTGAATCATACCAATATTCAATCATCAGTCAAATACAAATACCATGACATCAAAAGGCCTCAGAGACAACTCGCAATCACAGTTCACATAAAGAAGCAAGATAAATTAGTACAAACAAGGGACCAAAATACAGAGCCAGAAAACCTCCCTGAGGAGGAAATGGCATTGGAACTACCTGATAAGGAATTCAAAAGAATTATATTTAGTACCTTCAATGGATTGAGAGCCAGATCAAGGAAAACACTGACAAAATTAAGGAAAATACAGACAAAACTCAGAAGAATTCAGGAGAACAATCCAAGAACAAACTGACAAAATAAATGAAAAATTAGAAATCATACAAAAACAACAAACAGAAATCCAGACAATTAATATTAAGATTTCAGAAATAGATGACACACTGACAGAGCAAAAGAGTAGAACTGAATCAAAGGAAGATAGAATTAGCAAGACTGAAGACAGACTTCTCAGTACTACTTTGTTAAGGGAATAATCAGAAGGGGAAAAATTAAGAAAGCCTAAGATTTATGTGGTGCATCATCAAGAGAAATAATTTATGTGTGATTGGAATTCCAGAACAAGAAGAGACAAATAAAACCACAGAGAAAATTGTTGAAGATTTTTTGGAAGAGAACTTCTCTATTATGATGAAAGATGAGAAGATATACATTCAAGAAGTTCAGCAAATCAGCATTATTCACAATAGCAAAGAGATAGAAACAACCTAAGTACCCATCAACTGAGGAATGGATGAACAAATTGTGGTACATACGCACAATGGAATATTGTGCAA